CAAATGTCCCAGTTCATATGATTAAAATAGTAGTTCTTTTATTTCTAGTTCTCAGCCTGTCCAACTCAGACTGAAGTGGCTGTAGCTAGCCTTGCAGTGGTGTGCCTTAACCCACAGCGCCATCAGGGAGGGCCCACTATGATTTCTTTATCACATGTAGTACTGGGGTTCACCATTTGTTGGCCTGATTGCTTCATTTTGAACTGGGGTGCTTCTATCTGGGTAGATTCTGTAGAGAAAAACAGAAATCTCCTTCTCCCCCCCCCTTTTTTTTTAACCAGTGACTTTCTGATATTTTCTCCAATAATTTCTCCTACTCTCAATCATGAGGCTTGAGGGAAATCATCAGAATCTTATAAAATCATTCACAAATATTCACTTAGGACTGAATTCATCTTAGGTACATTTTACTAATCTTACTTACATGCCCAAAGTCACACAAATACCAGTGGGCTGAACTTTGAAGGTAACAGTCTTTTGCAACATGGCTACAGGTTCTTCTGAATACTTTGATTTACAAATATAAAGAATTCTCTGAAGCACAGCCTTAAACAAATTGTGGTAGACAGCTGGGAGAGAACAGCTGCAGACAGAAAAATCTGCCGGATGCACTGGGGGTGGTGGGCAGGATGGATGTGCAGTGAGGTGGCTCAAAGCAGAGGAAGGAAGAGGTGAGAGGTATTGACAGGTTAAATGACCTAGATGCCAGTAAAAGGAGGCCTTAACTATTTTAGGAGGTTATACAAATCTTCAGGTTATACAAATGCAACTAAGATGCAAGAGTATTTTTCTTCTGCTCAACAGAAAGCAGAGTTGGTCACCTCTTAATTAATGCTGGGGTAGTCAGTACATGAACTTTAAAAATCTTGTCAAGATTTTTTTCTAAAGCATTTCTGATGTAATGAAAAATAAGGTGAAAAGTCCTTGAATTAAGAATTAGGAGTCCTAAATTTTTGTTCATATATTGTACCATTGGCGTTTTTGGAGCCCCATTTCCAATTTCCACATTTCCAGTTGTGGTTAGGCGTCCCCAAGCCAGTGAGCAATTGTCAGACACTAACAGGGTGTCTGAGAATTCAGCTCATTTCTGACACTCTCTACTGAGGTAAGAGATCCACAGATCCACAGGTTAGGAGCTCAGAGTTTCCCAAGAACACCTTCTATAGCAAATGCTGGCCCCAAATCCAGGTTGCCAGTCAGGCATCTGACCAATCTGCTGTAGACTGGAAGTTCCCATTTGCTGTAGACTGGAGGTTCTCCTTTGACTCCAGGTTTTTCTTACAAATCCAGATTATTATCTGTGTTTCTGATGTGTTATAAATCAGAAGTTCTCAGGAAACCCTCATCGGTTTCGATTAATATACCAAGACAGCACACATAATTCAGGAAACCTCTGTATTCACTAGAACTCAGGAAACCTCTGTATTCACTAAATTAACTATTTATTACAAAGGATATTAAAAGATACAAATCAACACCAGATGAGAGAGATGCATAGGCAAGGTTTGGAGAAAAGATAGTTTCCCTGCTTTCTCCAGAGGAGCTATTCTCATTTTCTCCAAATTTTCATAGCTCACCAACTCAGAAGCTCTATGAAACCCTCAGGATGAACCACTCATCCTGAATTTTTACAGAGGCTTCATTATGGGCACAATGGATTAAGTCACTGGCTACTGGCCTTTCAACTCAATCTCCACATCCTTTCCCCTCCCTGGAGGTCTGAAAATCCCACCCTCTATTCATGTTGGTTTCCCTGGCAACCACCCCTTCACAGGCTCATCTCTCCTCCCCTATCTTCAGGAGATTTCCAAAAATTATCTTCATTAACATAACAAAAACACCTTTACCACCCTCAGAACTTAACAAAATTCCAAGTCTTCTGGAAGAACTGTGAATGAAGACCAAATATGTATGAGAAATATATTTTGGTCATTTGAGTGACCAAATATGTACATTGCCTAATAGATTATATGGCAAGGATCTGTACAACTGGCTTACTTGTGTGGTATTTTTCAAGCCCCTTTATTTCTTTTTTCTAAAAGTTGAGAATTGGGCTACTGAAGCTTAAGGATATTTTGAAATTCCAAATTGTTCAATGCTATGATTTATCAAGGATGTGCATTTTTCCTTGGAGTGCATTAAATAATTTGAGGTTTAGAAACAATTACAAGGCACATTTCTAGCCCTTTGGAGTTCTTTTCTTTTTAAGATTTATTTATTTATGCATACGGAACTGGAGATAGGCTAGAGTAGGCCAGAATGGATTCACCAGAGAGAGTTGGGGAGCAGAACAGACAGGTTGTGGACATACACTGCTGAGGGAACAGTAGGCCAGACAGAAGTCTGCTGCACCATGTGGGTCACCTCCCTGGCTGGAAATCGAACTGGTGCTGAAGAGGCTGAGGCTAGCTTTGTAGTGCTGTGCTGTAATCCATTGTGCCACCAGGGAGGACCCCTAGACTTGTTTTCTAACAGTGCTCACCAATTACATGAAGCTACTGAGCACTTGAAATTTGACTGGCAGAACTGAAATTTTTAATTTAACAATGTTTAAAATTTATTCATTTTATTTCACTTTAATTAAGAGACAATTGCTGTACCAAATATTGAAAATTTTATGTCTGAAATAACTTATGGATGCGATTGCTTTTTCAATGGTAAATTTTATGCAAACTGAATACAAATCGTAACATTTCTTTAAAAAAACAAAACAAAACACCTATTTAGTCCCTTCCTAGTGGCACAATGGGTTAGGATCCAGCACTGCAAGTTGGCAGCAACCTTTTCAGTATGAGTTCAATCCCTGGCCCAGGAGATGACCTACATGTTGCAGCAGACACCTCGTGACCTGCCTACTGCTCTGCTCAGCAGTGTACTTAGTCAGTCAGCCTGTTCTGCTCCCCACTCTGTCTCTGGTGAATTCTCTCACCGCCCCTGCACCTCTGGCTTGTACCCAGCTCTGTATGAATAAATAAATAAATAAATCTTAAAAAAAAAAACACCTATTTATCTATGCACATAAGAACTCAAGAACTGGGGTGTAGGCCAGAGATACAGGAGGGTAAGATTCACCAGAGACAGAGAGGAGAGCAGAACAGGCAGACTGATGGAAATACATTGCTTAGGGGAGCAGAGGGCAAGACAGGCGAGGTCTGCTGCACCATGTGGATAGCTCCCTGACCAGGGATCAAAGTCATTCTGCAGTTGCTGCAGATAGCTTCATAGTACTGAGACTTAACCTCTTGCACCCCCAAGGAGGCCCTATATAATATTTCTTTTGGGTGATTTTGAATGGTTATAATCATAAACTGTGGTGGGCTTGATTGGCAATCTAGATCCTAGTAAATTATGGGTGCTTTAGAAAAAATTGTGTCACCCTATGAGTATGATACATGTACTTGTCTGAGTCATTTTAATTTCATTAGGAAACACTTGTTCCAACTACCTTTGGTAGTGGAATTTGTTTTTAAAGTGGCAGATGCCAGGTATCTTAGAATCTCTGTGATTTCTTCAAAATGCTTCAAATGTTGGAATATACTATGGGAGGATGGTTAAAACAGAAGGTTTGTGCCCACAAGGTTTAATTAGGTGATGGAAAAAGGTCTATATTCAAGTGTGAAGTGATGTGGAACTAGTTTAGTGACAGAGGGGGAAGGCAGATTGAGTGTGAGAAGATTGTTAGGCGCTGGTGACATTAAATATTTGAACTGAGATCAGAATTAACTATATACACATAGACTCTCACACAATAATGCATTTCTTTCACCTGTAGAGGTTACCATTCCCAGGCTCCTGTTGATACCTGTAGGTTCCCATACTGAGTACATGAATGAAAAGATTGGAGCAGTTTTGTTGAATTGTGTCCATCCAGTGCCTGCCTACCTACCTTCTTCCCTGTCAGCCTCCTCTCTTCCTTCCCCTCCGGTTTCTCTAGTCAGTCAAATCATTAGCATCTGGAAACTAGAGAGAATATTCTCCAAGTAACCAGGTCTAGAGGATAGATGGGACACATAAAATAGGGACCAAGAGTGAATTAAGCAACAAGCAAATGCCATTAATGAGTGCAACATTTTATGCATTTATCTTGGGATAAATGGAAAGGCAAATGGGTGAATTGATTTATTGGGTAAACAATAAAATCTCCTATTTAAATGCTGACTGAACGTTAATGTCTTTTGAAAGAGGATGCTTCACCTCCTAGTCTCTTTTCCAGGTCTTCTGCAATTATTGTAAATAAACTCCGCAAATGATCTTATCAAACAAAAATTTGCACAGAACATTCAACCTTTCATTCTTTCAAGCTAAAAGATTCTGAGTAGTCTGCTGTGAACCTTCATTTTTATCTCTTAGCACTCTATATGCAAATCATTAATCCATCCTTTTCGACTGCCGGGCTGCAGTGTCCCTGGGCTTGCCTCTTAGGGAGCAGACATTAGCAGTAGGACCCAGGCTCAACCTATCCCCAAACCGTAGATGCAGGTCCAGCTGTCACAAATGGGCCCTTATTTGAGGGTGAATAGATGGATGACCTCAAAAGGTCAGAAAACACGTCTTTGGGAGGCACATAAGTTTTGTCAGGAGAAGGAAACGCTGGGACTAACTTTCGCTCTCCTCTCCCCATTCGGCAGACTCCGCCAACAGGGAACTGGCCGCTGTGAAGGGGTGTTAGTAGTATGCCAATTAAGATTTAGAGCCCCGAGCACCACTCCGAGCCGGGCAGCACTCGCTATACCCCGCCCTCCCGCAATTAAGCCAGGGCCCCACCTGCTCCTCAGCTCCGCCCAGTAATCTGCCACTGGACCGGACCCAACCGCACCCTCGCCCCTGGGTACCGCCCCGTAGCTCTCGTGGACAGCCGGCCTCGCCCCGTCCGTCACGTGACAACCCGCCTTCCAGGCGCACTCTGATTGGCTGCTAAGAAGAAGGGGTGGGCTCCAGCAAATAGTACTGCCCCCCCCCCACCCCGCCCCCCGCATTTGCAGCAATTTTCAAACCTCAACTGTAAGCCGCGTCCACCGTCTCCGCTGCCGTTGCCGGGAGCCATCCCAGTGGGGGCCAAGTCACAACTGCCGTGCGTTTCACGGAAGCGTAAAAGTGGGTCCTGCCACGCTCGGAGCACCCGGCGCCTGACCCGGCTATCGCTGGAGAACGCGTCCTGTAGTGCCCACGGCTTGGGGCGGGACGGGAGCCCCCTTGCAGGGGGCAGCCCAGAGAGAACCTGCTGCGGCCCGAGCGGTCAGTGTCTTCCCCCGTCGCGCGTCCATGACTGCCGGGATTGGCGGGTAGGCCCGGCGGTGCAACTTGGAACCCCTGAGCCAGCCCACACGCGCTGGGTACAGACACCCTAAGCGTGAGAGGGGTCTCGAGGCAGGACCCCAGCGACGTGAGGCGGAGCCGCGGTCCTCCCGGCGGTGGACGCTGACTCTGGCGCCCTTCAGGTGTCCCGGCTGCTCCTGGCCGGTCGCCGAATTCCGGCTTACAGTGGGTGCGGGGTGGGGCGGTGGTCCTCGCAAGGAGCAAGTCTGTGTGTGCGGGCCGGGCGCCCCGTGGGGGCCCAGTGGCTCCGGCTAGCTCGTGCTCACGTCCAGGTCGCCCAGGTCGCGCAGACGCTGGCCTGCGGGCTCCTCCCGGGCTCACAGCTGTAGCCGAATGTATCTGGACTCGGGATGCGTCCTGCTCACCGCTGCCTTCACTCTGAACAAAGTTTGTGCTCATCTTGTGTGGCATTTTTTAGTTAACTGCGTGTAAGAAACTTTAAAAAAAAATAGTGAATAGACAAGACAAATTGCAGCCCTTTTACTGATTGTCAGCAATTTGATTTTTGACGCCATGTAAGCTACTTAAGTATACACTGTCCATCCTCAAGCCCTGCAACTGTACGGTGGCTATGATTCTGACGTTTAGCTTAGTTCTTTGTTTTATTGTAAAGAGAAGCAGTTCGTTTGAATTCCTTTACACGGCTAAGTAGCTACGAAATTGAAGATTTTAAAGGCAGCTGGTAACTGATATATCTTTTGACTGTGATGGGACTCCAGGCACTTTGCCATCTATTTGCAAATTGAAATTAAGAAAAAAAAATACATTAAAAAATTCAACCACCTACTGATCAAATTTCAATAATATTAGGTCTGCGTGTCACACGTACTGATTGTTTTGCCTACGTAATGTTTACATTTGTGGTGCCGGCTGAACCTTGCGGTGAGCCTTCCTAGTGTGGCCCCTTTAAATTCTCACCTCGGGTAGAAAATGTGCGGACCAGCAGCTGGGTCTACAGATGACTAGGCCAGTGACAGCATGTGTAACCGGTAATATGTACAGTTCTATTAAAGAAAAGATGATGCGCTTGCTTTCTCTTTGATACAGCATTTTATAGTTTTAGGTGAACTGTGGAAGATGTTTTCGACAACTTTAAAATGTTTGTTTTATAAATATTTAATCACATACCCAAAGAATTGTGTAATTTTGAAAAAGCTGGTCCATAGAAGCAGTGACCCACTTTAAAACCTCTTCCCTCTTCATATTTCTCTGAACAAAGTTCAGTGTTGACATTTTCTTGACTATTTTAATAATTGCAGTTGTCATAAAGAGCTGCAGTATTTTTGAGATACATAGCTTAAATATTTAGATCATTTTTCTAAATTATGGATCTAAAATTGAGAAGAGATATATCTACATGGCAATATACTTAAGCTTGGGAAGTAAAATTTGTGTAACTTAAAGGCCTTTGTGTGTGTGTGTGGACAGTATGACTGCACTTTCTCCTAGGCTTATGGAATAGTGAATTACAATCTGGTTAAGGAGAATTGTTTTTAGGAAAGTTGAAAGGATAGTAACAACAAACCTGATGAAGATGCAGACATTTTATGGCATGTTTATTACCAATTTTATTTTGAAGCTTCCACAGAGTTTTACTGATGTTAAGTAAACATTTTAACATATTATTAAAACTTTGTTTTGAAACTTTTTGATAATTATGAAAGTATTTCCTTATCAAAATTTTCTTGTTTTAACATTTTAAAACCCAGGAAGACAATTGCTTAACACTTTCACTTAAGTTCTTAAAATTGTAATAGATAGTTCCTGTGTAAAATTTGCAGATGAAAGCAGTGCTCCTAAATGTACTGCCTCTAAAAGCTTTTGATTGACTCTTTTCTTTTTAAAGAATCTTTTTACATTATTGTGTCAGAAATGTTAGCAGTCATTTGTATGCTTTCTTTACACAGGAGAAAATTTCTGATGTTTTAGTTCCTGTGACTTTCAAAATTCAGTACTTTTTTTTTAGGACCTTCTATTCTGATAGACTATTATCAAAGGGTTTTCTTTGAATATTTCAATTGAGAAATGAACTTTAATCTAAGTTACAAGTACATATTTTTATCTAAATTTGTTGTAATTTTTCAAGACATACTCTCTTAAATTAAAAAAAAAATTCTGACATCTTTTTTCAGATCCATTTGACTTTCCACTTTAATGCCATTTTAACATTAATTTTTTTCTAATAATGTGCAACAGGTTATATGCATTCCTTAATCCTTTTAAATTTCTTCTCTAAAATAAGGTACAATTATGCATTAAAATTTTAATGTTAAATTTTAATGTTAATCATGAGATGGTTGTTTTACCTTTAATACTCAAGGGGTTATAAAACTTATTGCATTATAATGTTTAGCAAAAAATATTTCAGAGATACTATAAGTAAAAAGTAAATAGTATTTTATTTTGCAACAGAAACAAATTATCCATCTGATGAATGATAAACAGTGTTTGTTAGCCTAGTATATTTACTTTTTTCAACATCTCCCCTTCCTTGTGTAATTTGCTTCAGATGGTAGCAACAGGCCCTACTGTTCTGACAGAGAATCAGGCCTGAGGTCTCAGCCTGGAAGGTCAGCTAGACTGGGTAGTACACACTAGACTGACTGGACTATAGCTTACTTCCCTTTGTGATTTTCAAAGGGTTAAATTCTTGAATCATGCTTTCTTTCAACTTTAAAAACAGCAGCAACAACAAAACCTGTTAGAATACACAGAAGGAATGTATTCTCTCCCTGAAGTTGAAAATCATTATCATCCTTATCTCCACACCAATATTTTTACTTCTCAATTGACTAATAAAACATGAATCCTTCTGCCACACTAGCAGAAAATTCTTCCTTATTCTGATGAATGCTTGATAAATAAATCAAGCATTCTTTAGGAAACAGTTCCTTGTTTCCTAAAGAAAACTTGGTAGCTGTAAATGGCAGAAAGAACAACTTTTCTTTAATTTTGTGCCTTTGTTTCCCATTGCCTTTTGAATTTACTTCATGAAGATTTAGATTTATCAGTCATTAGTAAGTAACTGAATTACCTGATTGAAGTAGCTCTTAAAATAATGGTCTTTTTTAGGTAAATAGCCTGGAAAGAAAGCAAAATACAATATAATGATCTGTTGGCATTTTATTACACTATGTGATAAAAAAGAATTATTCATGTTTCCAGACCTTGTGGTTATCTTGTTTAGAATTGAAATTGTCTGTTAGCAATTTAAAATACTTCTTATTTTATTTAGCCAAATACTGAATCAAGCAGAGACTAGCTGTAGTTTAAGCTCCAATGCTGTAACTTCAAGATGAATGTCAGGTTTCATAATTCTTACAATTTAGTTCATCAAATATTTTTTAAATTTCTTCCAGATTCTAGAGACCATTCTGGAAATTTAGGCATAGAAGTGAATGATTGCTGCCCTCAGACACTAAACATGATTGCAGTCTAACACGTTATTTTGAGATAAAGAGATATTCACTGGTCCTTCTATCTGAAGCGTAAAGGAGCGACCACATTTACCTCTGTGTATTTCCGACAAATCTTAAGGGAGATGAAAATCTGTGTTGAGCTATGAAAGATATATGAGAAGAGTTTGCCATTTAAGGAAAGGTAGAAAAGATGTTTAAGGCAAAAAAGGGTAACAGATCTAGAAGCAAAATGTGAGATATGTATGGGGCAGGAAATGAAGCTGGTGTGTACTTTGCCTTAAAGGCTTTTGTGAGTGATACTGTAAAGACTTTTTTTAGCTGATAGTACTGGGAGCTAATGAATGGATCAAAACAGATGCTTAATTCTGTAGATGTTTCTACTTAGTGTATATTCAGTTTTTATAGAATGTTTTTGTTAGCTTTGAAATTAATATCATAATAGTTTTTAAATAGAGCTATTATAGGGATTGTTTGTCCTCTATTCCATTGTGTCACATTTGTTTTCTCCCTTCAAGTAAGTCAAAGCCCAGTTCAAACGTAACCTTGTCCTTCACTCATCTAGATCTGAACTCTTATTGTAATGGGAGTTAATGAAAAAAAACTTTGGAGATAGCTTTGATATCATTATTATTCCTTAGTAATATGTAATTGAAACCTTAATTTTATCTTGCCTTTTTTTAACTTACTTACTTTTTCTAATATCTGATTATGTCTATAACCGTGTATCTGTACACATAACACAAATTTACCCATTGATTTCCTTGAGTTTCTTTATTATTGTAACCTCAGATGTTATAAAATGAATTTCAAGTGGAGTGAGACTGGTAATTTAGAATCAGTTAAAGGTCTGTGAATTGTGGCAAAAGACAATGGTCTGAGGTCTGGGAATTGTTTATTGAGGTTAAAGAGAATTTGTGGGCAAATTTAGGAAGATGAGGAAGGAAAGATGACTGATAATTTTCATGTACCCAAAGATTAAATCTTACAAGCCATGCTTGTGAAGGATTTGCTGGACAAAAGGGACATTTGTGTCCCACTCTCTGCAGAACTGGCCAAAGGAAATAATATAGAAAAATTTCTAGGTCATGGCAGCTGGTCAAGTGCAGTGAAAAAAGGGAAATGCAGTAAGAGATGCTGTGGTAGTTGAAATATTCTGCATTATAGATGTATTGGCAGTAAGCAGCTTAGTTTAAGTTTTACTCATCAGAAATGTACCCTTTGTTCTGAGACATGGCTCATGGCTTGTGTTCCAGAATATTCAGAGCCAAAGTGAAGTATATCACATTTCAAAAATGACTTTTATATTAGCATATTTTCAGAGCTGCTGTTTGCCCAATGCTGTTTTTAGCTACATTTACAGTCACAAAATATATTCCTCCATTATGATGATTACATACAAGACAGAATTTTAAGAGTTGTAGACTTACTCAGTGAGAGGTTTGTATATGGAAATAGGGTATGGCTATTTAGCAAGGCTGGAGACTGTTTAGGGAGTATCTTTGGGTAGAATATTAATATCTGTTGAGTATTGTGTAGTATTCTCAGAACTAGCTCTATACAGTGCCATTATATATGTTCACCATTTTTTGATTTTTTTAAAAAAGATTTATTTTTATTTATTTGTGTATACAGAACTGGGGTACAGGCCAGAGGCTGGGGGCAGTGAGAGGATTCACCAGAGACAGAGTGGGGAGCAGAACAGGCAGATCGACGAAGTCCACTGCTGAAGGGAGCAGCGGGCGGGTCAGGAGAGGTCTGCCACGCCATGTGGTCACCTCCGGGGCAGGCGGGAATCGAACTTATGCAGAAGTGGCTTTAGATTCTCAGTGCTGTGCTTTAACCCGCTGCACCACCAGGGAGGGCCCATTTTTTGATTTTTAATCTTTAGATTTCTGCCAGATAGTTTCTTCTATATACCCTTTAGAAGTCAGCAGAGTTAAAGCTTATATTAGTAATCAGGGAAATGCAAAATCATAACAAAAATCCATTTCATCTTCATTGCATTAAAACAGTAAAAGTTAAAAGGGGGAAATAAAAGTCTTAATGAGGCAAATTTTGGTAAGGAGATGACAGTACCACCCATCCTGTGCTAAACTGGGTAGAAAGAAGGGTATGACTTCAGCTGTGTTGATGAGTGTTTACTTTTAATTTAAACAAGATATGATAAAATAATGAAAAAGTAGTTTTTTTTTTTACAATATTTGTATTCCTTACTATAGATCTGAAATATTTCAGTTGGTTGTTACTGTTTTCAAGTAGCTGGGTTAGTTTGCTAGGCCACCATAACAAAGTACTGTCAACTGAGTATTCAAACAACAGGAATTTATTTTCTCATGATTCTGGAAAGTAGAATTCGAAGGTTAAGTTGTATATGGCTGGTTTCATCCGTGGTCCTTCTCTTTGGCTGGTAAGCGGTGGCCTCTCCCTGTGCCCTCATATTTTGTGTTTTATGTCTTGATCTTTTTTTGTAAGCATCCCAGTTCTATTGAATTAGGGTCTACCCCAATGACCTAATTTTAACTTAATTAGCTCTTTCAATGTCCTGTCTCCAATTATAATCACTTTTTTGAGAACTGAAGTGGGAGAGGTTAGGACTTCAATATATGAGCTTTGAGGGGGAAGAATTCAGCCCATAAGAGGAGTGAAGTTAAATAATTAAATAATTTAATCAATGCCTCATATCTGGTAATATGGTTAAATGGAATTCAGACCCAGACATATTTCAGTCCAATGTTATTTTCAGAATGCTGTACTGTTACTCTGAGTCTACTAGAGGTTTATCCCAAAACAAGCTAGTTCTTTGTTTTCTCAAAGACCAAAGGATTTAGAGAATATTATTTTGCTGATTTGAGAATAAAACAGAAAATACAGAAACTGAAAATACTGAACTCTAGTCATCCTGCTTATTTGCTAAGTTGCATATAGTTGGCATTTGTATTTAGGAGGATAAAGAACAGTACATGTTAAGCAGGAAATAAGGGGAGGAAAAAATGTGGCTGAGAAGGAACAAAACCAGCAGGTTATTATGGGAGAGAGCTAGAGCAGTGGCAGTTGTTCTTTTATTAGCACAGTGGAAAGTTAGAAGTATCTTGAACTATATGGGCCACTGTTATATATACTCAGTTATGAAATAATAGTTTTGGTGATAAAACTAAATACATGTAAATATCACAAAGTTCCAGATAAACATGAGCTTCAGAGTTTAGAATCTAGAATAAAACTTTTTATCAACTTTTCGTCCAACAAAATTATACAGCTCTTTGTACATGGTAAACTCTGTACAAGGCTCTACTAAAAGAAAGTCTTAATACCTATGTAAGTTTCTGAATTTAGTATTGACACCTAGTCTGTGACACGTTTTGTCTCTTTCAGTCATTCACACTGTCAGTATAACTCAAAATGTGAATTCATGACCAAATTTGACTATTTGAAATTCATTTTAAAATGAATAGTGGCCCTCCCTGGTGGTGTAGTGGGTTAAAGCAGGGCACTGCGAGTTAGCCACAGCCCACTCAGTGCAAGTTCGATCCCCAGTCCCAGAGGTGACCCACATGGTGCTGCAGAACTCTCCTGATCCGCCCACTGCTCCCCTCAGCAGTGTACTTCGTAGATCTGCTCCCCTTTTCTGCTCCCCACTCTGTCTCAGGTGAATCCTCTCACTGCCCCTGCACCTCTGGCCTGTACCCCAGTTCTGTATGCATAAATAAATAAAATCTTAAAAAAAAAGTCATTATCAAACC